GTTTGGCATAGGGTGTCCATTCAATGTAGCTTGCTGGTCATTGAGTGGAGTTGGGTGTTGGCGTTGAGATGGAGATCTCTGGGAGATTTTTGCCATTTGATATTATGTGGAGTTGGGAGGTCTCTGGTGGACCATTGTTCTGAATTTGGCTCTCCCACCTCAGAGGCAGAGCCCTGATGCCTGGCTGGAGCACCAAGAGCCTGTTATCCACACAGCTCAGAATAAAAGGGAGAAAAAAAGAAAGAAAGAAAGAAAGAAAGAAAGAAAGAGATAAAATAAAATTATTAAAATAAAAAATAATTATTAAAATTTTTTTTAAGTAATAAAAAAAAGAATGAAGAGAGCAACCAGACCAAAATAAAATCCACCAATGATAACAAGCACTAAAACTATACTTAAAAAAAAGGAAGAAAAAAAAAAAAGGACAGACAGAACTCAACGACAAATGGTAAAAGCAAAGGTGTACAGACGAAATCACACCCAGAAACACACACATATACACTCACAAAAGGAGAAAAAGGGAAAAAAAATATATATATATATCATTCCTCCCAAAATCCACCTCCTCAATTTAGGATGATTCATTGTCTATTCAGGTATACCACAGATGCAGGGTACATCGAGTTGACTGTGGAGATTTAATCCATTGCTCCTGAGTCTGCTGGGAAAGATTTCCCTTTCTCTTCTTTGTTTGCACAGCTCCTGGGGTTCAGCTTTGGATTTGGCCCCGCCTCTGCGTGTAGGTCGCCTGAGGGCATCTGTTCTTCGCTCAGACAGGACAGGGTTAAAGGAGCAGCTGCTCTGGGGGCTGTGGCTCACTCAGGCCGGGGGGAGGGAGGGGTACGGATGAGGGGCGATCCTGTTGCGGCAGAGGCTGGTGTCACGTTGCACCAGCCAGAGGCGCGCCGTGTGTTCTCCCGGGGAAGTTCTCCCTGGATCACGGAACCCTGGCCGTGGCGGGCTGCACAGGCTCCCGGGAGGGGCGGTGTGGATAGTGACCTGTGCTTGCACACAGGCTTCTTGGTGGCTGCAGCAGCAGCCTTAGCATCTCATGCCCACCTCTGGGGTCCGCGCTGATAGCTGCGGCTCGCGCCCGTCTCTGGAGCTCCTTTAAGCAGCGCTCTTAATCCCCTCTCCTCGCGCACCAGGAAACAAAGAGGCAAGAAAAAGTCTCTTGCCTCTTAGGCAGGTACAGAGTTTTTCCCCGGACTCCCTGCCTTCTAGCTGTGGCACACTAGCCCCCTTCAGGCTACGTTAACGCCGCCAAGCCCAGTCCTCTCCCTGGGATCTGGACCGAAGCCCGAGCCTCAGCTCCCAGCCCCGCCCACCCCGGCGGGTGAGCAGACAAACCTCTCGGGCTGGTGAGTGCCGGTCGGCACCGATCCTCTGTGTGGGAATCTCTCCGCTTTGCCCCCCACACCCCTGTTGCTGTGCTCTCCTCCGCGGCTCCAAAGCTTTCTCCCTCCGCCACCCGCAGTCTCCGCCTGCGAAGGGGCTTCTAGTGTGTGGAAACCTTTCCTCCTTCACAGCTCCCTCCCACTGGTGCAGGTCCCGTCCCTATCCTTTTGTCTCTGTTCTTTTTTCTTTTGCCCTACCCAGGTACGTGGGGGAGTTTCTTGCCTTTTGGGAAGTCTGAGGTCTTCTGCCAGTGTTCAGTAGGTGTTCTGTAGCAGTTGTTCCACGTGTAGATGTATTTCTGGTGTATCTGTGGGGAGGAAGGTGATCTCCGCATGTTACTCTTCTGCCGTCTTGAATCCCCTTATATCATTTTAGTGTTTATCATGTTTCATGGCTTTTATGTTCTACTTTGTGCTGGTTAAATATTGACTATAGCACTGACTTTTTTTTGTCACTTTAGATTTTAGATTAGTGGTTGTCACTCCTGACTGGTTAAAAGAATGATCAGTGAGGCTTTTTATAGGACCTAGATCTGGGGCCTGTTCTAGAGCAGACCCACTGAATCGGGCTATCTGGCTGTGGACCATGAAATCTAATATCCAAAAACGGTGTCACAGAAAACCAGAGGCAGACACACATGAAAGTGGTAAAGGCAAATCTTATTCAATAACTATTGCAATAGTGGAAAAGAAACCTTGGTATAGAACTAGGCTTCATTCTGAATACAACAAGGGCACGTAGGGGTGTATAGCCAAGGAGCAGGGTGGGTGTCAGTGAATGAAAATTACTAAGAGGAAACATTAGAGGAAGGGAGATTCGCCTTAAACCAACTTGACAGGATTCTTGCTGAAGGCAGGCCAGGGGGATAAGATTGAGGGTGGGATAAGGAAATTTGAGGGTAGGGGATTTTCACTAAACTGACTCAGCAGGATTCTTGCTAAAACTAGACTAAGGGGTCCAAGGACAAGCCCAAGAGCTAGGCCTCGTCACAAAGAGGACTCAGAGGAGACTTCCCTGGTGGTCCAGTGGTTAAGAATCTGCCTTCCAATGCAAGGGACGCGGGTTTGATCTCTGGTTGGGGAACTAAGATCCCACATGCCATGAGGCAACTAAGCCCATGCGCTCTAGAGCCCGTGCCTCACAACTAGAGAGACTGCGTGCCGCAACTACTGAGCCTGTGTGCTCTGGAGCCTGCACACCCCGAGTAGAGAGAAGCCCGCATGCCTCAATGAAGAGCCTGCACCACTACTGAAGATTCTGCATGCCGCAACTAAGACCTGATGCAGCCAAAAAAAAAAAAAAAAAATGAGGACTCAGAGGAGCCCAACCAAGGAGAGAGTCTTTGTCAACATTAACAGCTATTACAAATTATAACAACATGATTCTGATGTATGTATTTGTAGTGAGAATTGCATCCTTATTCCCATAGAGGTTTGAGCCTTGATATTTCATTTAGATCTTTTCTTGATCTCCTTTTTAGTAGTAACTTCATGATCCTGTAAATGGACAGCTTTCTTCCAAAGCCTTTTCTTCTTTAGCCTTTTACTGGAGAGTACCATGGCACCAAAAGGAGAGAATTTAAGACCAAATAAATCATGTTTTGAAGCAAACACACTTCAACAAATATTAAGGTCCTACTGTGTTCCAGGTAGTGTTCTAGTTGGTGGGGATATAGTAGTGAAAAAGGCAGACATGGGAGAGCCACTCTATTAGCTGGGGACATGGTAGTCAAAGAGTAGAATATAGTACATCAATAAATAAACAAGTTAATTTCACATAGTGATGCACTATGAAGAAAATAAAAGAAGAGTATAATAGTGATTTGGGGAAGGTTGTATTAAGGACAGGAGGTTTAATCTGAAATTATTATTACAGGTTGTTATTAGTCATGCTCAGATTTGGGATCTACTAATCCAGGTAGGGAAATAATAGTAAGTACAAAGGCCCGAAGTCAGTGACAAGCTTGATGTATTTAAGGGACAGAAAGAAAACCAGTAGGAGAAGAGCATTGTAGGCAATGGTATGTGATGAATCTCCTAATACCTATTAAGGGTGATTCCAAGGTTTTTGACATTGAGCAACTGGCTCAATTATCATTTTAATAGTAAAATTATTAAGATGAGGAAGACTGAGGCAAATTGAAGGAAGACTGGGGCAGCAAGTGATGCCCATTAGGTGTGAAGCCCTAAATATAGGCTTCTGGATGTGGGATTTTGGATCTGTGTGTGTGTCTGTCTGTCTCTGTCTCTGTCTTTCCCTCTCCTTTTTTCCCTCCCTTCCTCTTCTTTCCACCTGGGCCTTTCCACATATCAGCTTCAGGATAACCAGACTTCTTGTATGCTTACATGTTGATCAAAGGCTCCCAGAGCGATTATCCTAAGAGTGACGTACAGAGGCTGCATGGAATTTTCTAACCTAGCTGCAGAGGTCATGCAGCGTCACAGACTGCACCTCTTTTTTTTTTTCATTGTAAATGCTTTGTTGCTTTTTATTCACTTTTTTCACTTTATTTTTATTGGAGTATAGTTGCTCTACAATGTTGTGTTAGTTTCTGCTGTACAGCAAAGTGAATCAGCTATACATATACATATATCCCCTCTTCCTTGGATTTCCTTCCCATTTAGGTCACCACAGAGCACTGAGTAGAGTTCCCTGTGCTATACAGTCGGTGTTCATTAGTTATCTATTTTATACATAGTAGTGTATATATGTCAATCCCTCTTGATGGGAAGTGTGTCACAGGATTTGCAGCAGTGTTTTAAAATGATCACATTATAGAATCCCTCATTATATTAAGTTTATTATCTTTAAAGATTAGTAATCATTTCCCTTTTAAAGTATTGTTGAACAATAACATACCTTTGGAATTATTAATGATATAGTACTTTCCTCTCTGTATAGTTAAAATTATTGCCTTAAAATTATAAACCACTTATTTATGCTGTACTGGTGGTTCTAAGGTCTTCATATCACCTCCTATGTTACACAGATAGCTCACTGAATCCTATGACACTTCATCAAATGAAATAAAACATTGAAGACAATAGAGTTCTTCAAACTTTTGAAATTCTTCAGAGGTCTCTAGCCCTATCCTTAAAGGATGTAAGAGGAGGTTTCCAATTGTGGTTGTCATTTGTTTGCTAGAATGAGTCCTATATCTGTTGGCTGGTAAAATGAAAATTTTCAATGGCTGAATCTCTAAGGAATTTTTAAAGAGTTTATGCCTTGTGTGTTATTTTTGTATTTTTGAAAAAGCAGTATTTTTTTTTCTTTTAAGTTATCTGGAATTTTATAATTTATTCCTTTGGGTTAGATTCTATTAGAAAGGGAAATAGGATTGTATTTTATTTTTTATATGAGTGATTTAAATAACTCAACATATGTGATTCTTATCCCTATGTGTTTCACACCTTGGAAGCTTTTAGAAAAAAAACCTATGGCCAGGTCTTACCCTCAGGGATCCTGATTAGTTGATTTGGGATGGGGTCCAGGTATAGGTATCTTTTACAACTCCCCAGGTGATTCTTTTATGAAGCCATATTTGAGACCCAACTGCATCTAACTCTGGTATTTGCTGATGATAATCTTAGTCTCTGTAACAGGGAAAACAAATGGAAGACCTGCCTGATGCAGCTGTTTTGGCGACTAGACTTAAAAACACTCTCATCCAATACCACAGCCTTGAAGATGACAAGTGGCGAGTTGCTAAGAAAATGGTAAATTAATTAAATTACTTATGTTTGAGGGTGTATCTTCTGTCTAATGAGCTGGTGGATGACTTTCAAAATGGTACGGAAAAATATGGACCATACTTTAGATGAATGTGCGGGATAGATAAACGTGCTAATATAGTTGATGGTTTACTGTCTCACAAAGGAAGAAACATAATAATCCTGCACTGCTTTCATTAGTTCTTCAGATATTGGACACAAGAATAGACTCATGGCAACAAGATTGTAAAGAGCAGCCTCTCAAGTCAGTAAATAAAATGTGTCATTGTCAGTTTAAGGAAGTATAGTAATTGATAATTTGAAATTGTTTCAGATATTTTAACAAGCCTGTGAGAATGTCCAGTTAGTATTCTTTTTTTACCAATATGACATACCTGAGTGTTGACAGAGCCAATCCTTGAACCCAGAACTCTTCCAGTTAAGTCCTCTGGCTATTCTGCTATTCAGAATTTCTTAGGAAATGATCTAGAAAAAAATGTAGGGACTAATTCAAGGTAGCACTGTCATAATAGATTTGAATTGTTTAATTTTAAAAAGATGTGAGCAAGTTCAGAATGAAGTATTTAACATTTCTATTATAAATGTGTCAGTAATGGTAAATAGATGAGATTGGAATGGGGCAAATAATAATGGCCAATGAGATAGTGCCATCACCGAATCTTAACAGTGCTTGGGTGTCATTAAGCTATTGAAAAACCTTTTGTAGGGGTTTGTAATTTAAATAAGATGTGTACTACTTTCAGATACAGAAGAAATTCAGATATGGGTTATTTTATGGTATAAATTACTTTTGTGTATTTCTTTGAATATTTACTTATGTTTTATTTTCATGCAAAAGCTAATGCTGTAGAATTTATGAAATTGTCAGTTTTATATCCAGGTTTCCACCTATGTAATTATCAGTATACACTGTTTTTATTTTTCTAGAAAGATGTAACAATTTGGAGGAAACCTTCAGAAGAATTTAATGGATATCTGTAAGTAAATTCCTGTAGTGTTACATAGCTCTTAGGACATTGCTAAACTTCAGATATATACACACCTACACACATGATCACTGAATGATCATTGCCAGCAAAATTTGGCTTTTGCTTTAAGATGTTAAACTTTCTGAGAAGCAAATCCTGTTATGAATTCAAAGCCTTTAAAATGTCCATATCCCTGGTGGACAGAGTTGGTGGTGAGGGGATCATAAATAATATGATATCATAAATGATATCAGCTGATAAAATCTTAATTTCTTACTATGGTGTATAAGACCCTTCTAATATTCTTTCTGCATTTATTCAGTGCTGTAGCATATTTTATTTTATTTTTTTGCATGGGCCTCTCACCGTCGCGGCCTCTCCCAATGCGGAGCACAGGCTCCAGATGCACAGGCTCCAGATGCGCAGGCCCAGCAGCCGTGGCCCACGGGCCCAGCCCCTCCGCGGCATGTGGGATTCTCCCGGACCGGGGCACGAACCCGTGTCCCCTGCATCGGCAGGCGGACTCTCAACCACTGCGCCACCAGGGAAGCCCCTGTAGCATATTTTATTCTAAGAAATTTATCTTGAAGAAATCATGGGAAAATTAATAGTTATTTAAACTTGTCTCTTCCATCACAGTACTACTTAAAATATTAAAAATTACAAACAACCTGAATAATCAATTGTTGGGGAATGATTAAATTATAAAATGTGCTATTTTACAGTCTTTAAAAACATAATAAAATGCTCAAGATACAATGAAAAGTGAATAAAGCAGAATACTAAACTATATGTAGCACTATCATGGGTTGACTTTAAATATATATTTTTTATATATTAAAATGTTTTATTTAACACAAAATATATACCTCTAGATGTCAGTTTTATGTGTGATTTTTATTTCTGTTTTTTGATTTTTGCACATAGTTGAACACGAATTATGCCTTTAACCAGTAAAAAAATATTGTTTTTTAAAGCCAGAGGAGATAGTTGCCACGTGAAATTGGAGTGGAATAGTCACATCCTTGGGACTCAGCACTTTTTAAAATGAAACTGTTGACTGAACTTACTATATACAGTGTATTTTGAAGTGTATTACCAAAGATAGCATTTCCAGGAAGATAAGTTGTACAGTATTTATGAGGACAGGGAAACTGGAGTTGGATTAAACATTGTAAGCAAGTGTAGAAGCTAATCCTTTAGATCAGTAATCCCTGCTGGGGCTGAAAAAGTGTAAAAAGTGCCAAGGGAGCACTATGCTTGGTGATATGGAAAAACTTCATAGGGGAGCTAATATTGGAGCAGAGTCTTAAAGAACGAATAGGTATTTCTTAGGGAATGAAGGATAAATTCATATTCCAGGCAGAGAGAATTTCATTTACTACGTTCACACAGATGGGAAACACTTTAAGGAGTTTATTTAGGGAAGTTGAAATTGTGTTTGTATAGCTGGAGCTGGGGAGAGCATGTCTGAAGGATTTTTTTTTTTTTTTTTTTTGCGGTACGTGGGCCTCTCACTGTTGTGGCCTCTCCCGTTGCGGAGCGCAGGCTCAGCGGCCATGGCTCACGGGCCCAGCCGCTCTGCG